GTAGTAGTAGTAGTAGTAGTAGTAGTAGTAGTAGTAGTAGTAGTAGTAGTAGTATGTACAGTAGTAGTATGTACAGTAGTAGTATGTACAATAGTAGCAGCAGGAGGAGTAGTAGTAGTAGTAGTAGCAGCAGCAGCAGCGCAGTAGTAGCAGCAGCAGCAGAAAGAACATCTTTAGCCATATCTTTCGCAAAAAGATCTTTCCCCAACTCGAGAACAACTTTTGCCACATGATATTTTGATATGTTCCAGGGTCATTGTCATCAACAATCCCTATTATTAGGACCTTTAGATCGACAACAACATGGTGTATATGATATATCTTAGCCTCAACACGTTGACAAACACATAAACAACTGCAGCACGACTCTAGGGGGCAGTGACTTGCAAGCACAAGCTGGTTTGTGAGTCTCCACATGCCCAAAATACTGCATCTGAAAAGTTGGCACAAAAACCATGCTTGAAACATGTTAGGGCGAAGCTAGCGCTCTCTCTGGTTGGTTGGCATGATTTTCATGGGGTCCCGCTTCAAAACAAACTCAAAAAAACACACCCTGAACATGAAATACCAACAAATCTACCTCAAACATGACACCGCCTTTTTTAGATCTTTTAGACGGCTACCATATATATATATATATATACATACCTCTTGGTTCTCCCCGGTCAGGACATCCCGGTTTTCTCCACCCACCCCGACCCCGGTGTCATCGGTCATCTCCTCCCCACCCCTTCAACCGAGAGTCCAAGAAGGAACTGGGCGCCCTTCCTGAGGCTCCGGGCGCCGTGAAGGTGTCACAAAAAACCCCGCAGACCCAGCGACCGGGGAAACCCAAAAAAGGACTCTTTGTTGTCCATTTCATTTCATTTCATTTCAGGTCACGCGAGACACGTCTGCGAGCAGACGAAGGCGTTCTCTTGCTGTCCCCTCAAAAAAGAAAGAACCCGATCGTAGCGTCCGATCGCTCCGTTCGTAGTACGGCCAGGAGCCCCGATCGTAGCGTCCGATCGCTCCTAGTAGTAAGGCCAGGAGCCCCGACTTGATTTGATGTTCAAATGAGCAAGTCTCTAAAACCCCTCAATTCATGACCATTCTGTACGTCCTGGCCGCTTCTCTCCACCGTCCCTCACGTCACCGGCCGCGCGTCAAGGTCTCCGGGGCAAAGTGGTCGTGGCCGTCGCCGGCGCGGTCGCCCGGCACCGGCGGCAGGCCCAAGAACTCCTTCTGCCGGGGGCCCGGTGCGGCGCCCGGGTTCTTCGTTTGGTTCGGGCGTGGCGAACGAACCTTGGGGCGGGTGTCTTTTTTTTGGAGGTTCGTTTGTTGAGGTGGTTTTTCCAGGCGGTATTGGAGCTGTAATTCTTGTTGAGATCATATCATATCCAACTATTTCGAGTGTAGTCTTATATGGTCTAAATACCTCCCAAGTGGTGGCGGACATCCGGCTCTTTTCCAAAAAAGCAGCCGACTGGAATCAGGGGTTAAGTTCTGAGTGGCGTATGACTCTATGACGGAAGACGTTGAGCCTGCTCACAACTCCTTGTACATTGGGGGGAGGCCTTCTGCGACATTTGATCGTGATTTCGGTGAACCTTTGGCCTGTGAGGAAGGCTGCCCCAACAGAAACACTCTGCAAAAGTCTCTCTGCCACCAAGTGTCTCGTCTCAAAATGTCCTCTGTAAACAATATATGGGGCCAACTCTGTGTATCAAGTACCGACCACAAACAGCAACAAACATGGCCTCAGCTTCCCTGGAGGCTTCCTGAACCAATTCCCCGCAACGATCCGAGCACGGACGTGGCTCTCTGAGCACGAACATCGAGACGGCCTCTCTGAGAATGGCATGGCTCTCGGTGAAGACTGGCCACATCCAGCTCTTGACCTCACGGTGGAGACCGGTTGCTCCAGAGCTGGGAGAACCGATATCAACCAAAGGAGAGTGGACTCACAACATGTCTTGCAGGGGTGGAGGCAGCCCATCACACAGCATTTCCTCAGACATGTCCAACATGCTTCATGATTCATGTCCCCAAAGCAAGACTTTGAACCCATGGTGAGACGGAAAAGAAGATCTGGATCCTCTGGCACCCCCAAAGACGCCCCAAACGTGCCATCCATCGGCCCGGCCGCATCAAACATGAACTCAACGACCATCCCGGCGTAGCTAGAGAAAACCCTGGGAAGAGCCTGCGTAGACCGTTGAGCCACTCCAATTCCGAGCCTCCAGTGGTGCACCCAATCCGCCGGACCTTATAAGTAGTTGACAGTATCACAAGACCTAGAAATCTGAACCCCCCAGACGCTGTGTGGAAGCAATCGTCCCATTTTGGTCGAAGCGATCCGTCTTTTGGACGCTCTCACAGTTCTCAACATGGTTTGTCTGGCTGGAGAACTGGATTTCTGGATTCGATGAGGAACCAGTGTTGGTTTCAAGGAAGATTTTGTGGACTTTAAGTGTGATTGTGTGAGTCTTCCCCGAACCATCCCAACATATCGCAACCCTTCTGAAGGCCTCTGGAGGTGGGGCGATTGGGTGGAATCTTCCGATGTGCCACAGAACCTCATGTTTTCTCCGTTTGGATCGCCGTCCACGCGGAAAGGAACCGCAACCCCCGTGGCGGAAAGGAACCACGAAGGAAAACCATGAACGAAAACACGCCGTGGCACTGTGCTCCAGGAGAACAGGCTTTCATCTCCTGGTTCATCACGTTTCTTCAACACCTGGCAATGGTGTCCATCTCGGAATCCGCGGCGGATCGCACCGTTTCAGGAGACCAGAAGCAAATGCGGTTTTTAGGAATTCGTATGGTGGATCTGATCGATTTCCATCTGTTTCCTATCATATAGTGGGGATGATTGATAGTTTGAGTCCCTACATCCCTAGTGAGATCTCGTGTTTCTCACCGTCCTTGGGTTCGCCTCGCTTCTAATCTTTATCTCTTTTTCATGGTACTCAAACACGTGCATGCTGTCATTGACACGCTGCCCCTGCACAAAAGACCGATCCAAACCTTTTTCACTCCTGAGCAGGATTCTCCCAACCAAAAAGGGTTGCAAGCAGGACGTCTATCAAGGCCAATGCTTGGAACGATCCAATTGGGTTCCTAATGTTTATACTATACCAGGCACATCCAACAGGCTCAATTCCAGAAACCAATCAAGGCCTGGTATAGTAGGGCCCGTTTTTTTTGGCCCAAATCCTTCTATACCAAGCACCTTCCAACCAACAGGTCTTTTTGCATATGGCTCTTGGAGACTTCTTGGGCAAATGGCAGGTCCTGCTGACCCCACTGAAGTCGGGTGCACATCAGGTCGTGCTGCTTTTCCATCGTCGTTCCACATGAGAAGTGCCACTTCTCATCACAGCGGCAGTACAGTCAGTCACTGCCGCGTCGCTCCCCGTCGGTAAGACGGGTCGATGCTACGAACGGGTTGCGTCACTCGGACGCGATCGATTGGTGGAGGCCATCGCAAGTAGGTTGGAGGCCATTCCTACTAGTAACAAGAAGCTTTCTAGTAACTAGAAGCTTCCTTGGGAATCGTTTCACTGGGAATCGTTTCACCTGTAGTAACAAGAAGCTTTCTAGTAACCCTCAAAACATTGATGGGATTCCTTGGTGATCCAAAAGTGCCCTGCCCCACACAAAGGGCATTTCTACTAGGAGCATTCTTGGACGTCTGTGAACGGTTGATCGAAGGATCTTCGACCAGTGACCAGCGGGGAAACCACCTCCTCGCACCGTGAGATCACATGTAGAGAGGCGTGGCCGATCATGGATTGGGGCACACGTTTTTTCAATCGCGGCAGTGTGGCCACGTCTTACATGCCTTGATGGATCACTAGTTCGAAGGAATTGATCTTAGAGTCCGAGAGTATTTCAGATTCAAGGTCACCAACCAGAACAGCTGGTGCAAAATCAGGCTGCTGTGTGTTTGTTACACCCTTTCAAAGACCCCCCTTTTCCTAACTATGGACTCCCCACTGGCCATAACGGGACCCACCGGCCGCTAGGACGTCTCGGAGATTTGAGGTTACCAGTTATCACATCCAAAGACTCGACACCCAGTGGATCCCAGTTATCCCATCTGACCACTATACTGACCACTATATAAACTATAGGGACTTTAGGTCGATCTATGGTGTCTTTGGAACATTTTGGAACCACTGGTTACCAGCTATAGGTGGTATCTGGATCCGCTGGGACTGGCGTTCGCCCAGGTCTTTCGCGTTCACCAAAACGGCGCCGTCCAGCCGCCCGTTGCCTCCATTAAGTCAGGCATGTTCTCGGTCAGCTCCTGCTCGAAGGTCTCAGGCATGGAATACGGGATCCTCACGAAGGTGACCAGGTGCCGAGCCCGAGGACACCCACGTCCCAGTCCAAACCGTGCCAATTGCATAAATTCAGTTTTATTTAATGCTCTAGTCGCTTCTTGTTACTATAGTAGTAAGAATGCTCCTAGTAGCCATGCCTGAAGCCCCTAGTAGCGTCCTTGCTCCTAGCTAGTAGTAAGGCCAGGTGCCAGGAACACCTAGTAGCTTCTTGTTATTAGTAGCGATGGCCTCCACCTAGTAGCGTCCTTTACTAGCTTGGCGCATGGGGTTCTTCATGTTCGGTGAAAGCCCCTTTACCGGAATTGCGGACGACCCGTGGGCGTGCTTCCGGACCATCTTCACCCATGGTTCAGCCAAGGCCAAGCCTTTCTTCCTTCTTTTCAGATCGCCCCATCGAGTTCTTTCTGCTGCTGAGGCACAGGCTTGGAGAGCAGCAAATCCACGGAATCTTCAGACCTCAGCAGCCACGTTCGCCCCTTCAACGGATTGTTTGCTTCGCCGGTCGACCTCTCGTTCTCCGGAGTTCGTCCGGTCAACTCGAAAGCAGTGACTTCGCCGGCTCCCGGGTCCGTGGGAGTGGTTCTTGAACTGAGGACGTAGGGGTGCGACCTGCAAGTGGGTGCAACATCTTAAGGGGTTTTCCTCTTCACACTGGCAGGGCGACGGAAGCGTCTGCAGGTGGTCAAACTTGGACGACGGAACCGTAGTCTGTCTAGCCGATTGATGCTCCACCTACGGACTCTGCAACAAGTCACCACCTGCGATGATCTTATCATATCACATCATATCACCAATCTAGAATCATAGCAAGTGCTTCGAGAATTCCATGCATATATATATATATATGAAGGCCATCGCTAGTAGATTGAAGACCATTACGACTAGAAGCAAGGACGCTACTAGGGTGGAGGCCATCGCTCTTTGCCACTCTGGTGGAGCGACGGCGTCCGTCGCTCCCTGCAGCTTGCACCGTCGCGAAGTCGCCCTGGGTCGGGTTCCCTCCACCGGCAGGGACTGATCCCGACGACGCAGGAAGCGGCGCTGGAAACGACTCCCCTCCGTTTCAATAAGGGTTCACTTTCCGTCTTGTTTAGTGGGGAAACCCATTCCAAACAAAAAAGGTTGGGAAGGCAGTCCACTTTTCCTCTGGGTGGTCTTCTCTTCCTCGACCGTCCCAGCGCGGGACGTCCCGCGCGCCGCGGGACGTTCGGCCAGGTGGAAGACCGGTGGCATGGCGAAGAGGTTGCACACCTCGAGACCGGGAAAACGATGGGAAGACAGCTGGACAACAACTTCTTCCAGGAGTCACAAAGGGGTGGTTTTTAGTTCCTAAGTGAGTGGATAATGGACACCTCAAACCTCCATTAAGCACTCCTTTGTGACTGCTGGTTGAAGATGTTTTGTGCCCATGTTGTGGGTCATTGCTAGGTTCTGAAAAAAGAACACCACGCCTTTTCCAGGCTCACAGCTTCTCGCCAAACCCAACTCCCTGTCAAATTCCCTTGTTCCAAACACCTCTCGTCCTCGATGATCCTCCACCGAGGCGCCAGGACGTCGGCGTCCCCGGCGCGGCCGATGGCCTCGATCCACTCGGCGCGGCGACGGCCCTGCAGGTCCAGCACGTCCTGGGGACGGAGGGCGCGTGCCGCTCGCGGGAATCGGCGGCAGGATCCGGTGCCCGGGTGGGTGGTGAAAGGCGGGGAGAGGCGGGGATTGGTGAGGATAGGGTGGGAACCATACAAAATGCTAAGCAAAGGCTGTTGGAAGATCGACCGGCGTGAAGTTTTCTACTTTCTTTATGAGGTGTTGTGGTTTTTGTGGGTGGGGATTGAGTGGAATGATGCGGAAGGAACCAGGAAAGAAAAGGAAAGAAACGATGTTCAGGAAGTTGCAATCACCATGAATTGGTCTTACGAACGTGAGAATCGGTGGGGCAAGGACTTGTCCTGAGCACTAAAGGTTGGTTTGTTCAGAAAGCAGGCCAACAAACCCATGAAAAAGACCCACCGTGCGCAAGGACCAGAACATCCCTGTTGGAACGTTTAACTCACTCAGCTGTCCCACTATCAAGTAAACACCTGCGCATTCCTGCCAAAGGATGTCGTCGAACGTTTTGTTGTTCTCAAAAGGTTGAGCACGGCTCAACGCTCCCTAGGGCTCCAACCACCACCTGAGAAGGTGGTTGGGGTGGGTTTGGGGGGTCTAACTACCTTCTGAGGATGTGGTTGGAGCCCTAGGGACTGAACATTTCAGTGGCTAGTCTTCCAGAGAAGTTCACGCTCAAACGTTGCTAGACAGTTGGTGTACAATACTCTCGCAGATTCCCGCATGCATCACATGTCACATTCATGCATTTGATACATGGAATGATATATGGATTTGATTCGAAGTCAAAGACCTGATGCTACCTATAAAGGCGGAAAAAAGAACACCCTGGAAGTCAAAGACCGTGTTTAACATGGTTGATCTGGTTGATCGTAGTGTAGATTCCTTAGTAAAACGATGGTTGCTCGGGATTCAGGCTATTTAAAAATACATGGTTCGACTTCCAGGGTGCAACCATGCCATCTGTCCCATCTTTTGGGGTCCCAGGAGCTGGCGTGTCGGCGTTCAGGCGACCATCATGGACAAAGCACGGCTGGGCCAAGGGCCTCCAAAGCACCTCCGGGGCAAAACGAGGTGGCAGGCTTTTCTGTCTATAGGGATTAGTGCCACATTCATTTCCAGAGACGTGGAAAAGCCTTAATGATCCCGATGACGAGACCCTATTGTACAATTTGGGATAGGAGATAGGGCCGCTCAACCATGTGCAAGCTACTCTAGTCATCTTCTAGCGTGGCAAGAAACATTCCACTGAAGATCCCCAATGAGTTCCAGTCTGGGTGTTGTATTCCGCAACGGGGTTTGGGAGTGTTCAAAAACAACAAATTATCTATTATATAGACTTGTTCTTCGGTGCATTCAAAAGTGGTTTCATAGTAAATGGCGCAAACGGTTGCCACCCCTCTGAGATGCGGATTTGGACAAACCACCTAAAGCACCACGTGTGTGGAACATCGTGTGAGTTGGCGGGGTCTTTTGGGGGATCCCTTCATCGCTCCAAGTTGGCATTCCACCCGACCGACCTGCACCATCCGGGCACTTTGTCAGAATCCCATGGCTTGTCCATGGCTTGTCCGCTGCAATATTTAGCTGGAAGCCCTGCTTTACCACTTGTTTGTGGAGGAAAAGGGGGTCCCAGAAAGAGAATATAATGGAATATGTAATGGAAGTTGTCTTCAGGCACCCTATGGCTTTCCAAGGCCTTGCAAGAGCTCTGAAAAAGCCTCAGCTGTTGACCTGGACACCCCATCCCCACCAACTTGTCACTAGTTCCTTTCCGGTGCCTGCTCACTTTGTCCAAAAGCTTCGAGGACGTGGGTGCATCCAAACGATTTCTGGAGAAAACCCTCCTGCAGCGATTTCGCGTCGCACAGATGGGACCACGCCTTGGAGCTCCAGACCTCCGGCTCCTGGCGAGCAACCACCGCCGAAGGGAAAGCGGAGCGGAAGACCACGGTGGGGAAGCCATGGCGCCATGTCGCGTGGGCGAAGGCAGAAGCCAGGCGCCTGATTTTAAAAACCAACCGTTTAGCACACGATCGACAAGAACAGGGACATCCGGAAAAAGAGACCTACCTGACCCACAAGTGAAGTGATTCTCGTTTCTCCAAGAATGGCCTGGCTGAAAAACTGGAAGACAGGTGCCAAGACGCCAAACAGCTGTCTTTCCACCCAACCGGTCCTCTGTTGACTCCTCAAACCGGTGGAACGACCCCAACCGGTTGGAACCACCGGCGTGGATCTCGCTCAACTGACTCGCTCCACTGACTCCCTCAGTCAACCTGCACCAGGGCCCCTAAGGGGTGTCTATTTGTAGCCCCGAAAAGAGGTGATTCGGGGTGTCCATGTCTACCACCCCGACAGTGGGTCCTGGCAGGAGCTTATTCTCCCAAACGGTTTTGTAGCTTATCCGTTGGTGGGCTAGGTCAATGCTAGGATGTAGAAGGATACAGCTTCTTAGCACCCCCCGGAAACGTCCCAGCGAACCGCGCTTGGCTTGGAATTAGTCGCTCGACTGGGGCACGGCGGTCGCTTCACGACCACCTGTTTGTAGAGGAACACGGTCTGCACAAATGGCCAGCTTTCCACTTAGCATGTTATGTGAGTCAGAGTGCACATGTGCCGCCACTTGATATGATCTCAAGTCATGGATCTCTTTGCAGCATGTGTTTTTTTTATTTTGTGCATGTACCTCAGGCTTCTGAGTTTCAATGTCTCTCGGTCGAACTCTGCCTTGTCTATGGTGTCAACCCCTCCCTGGTGCTCCTGTGTTTCCTTGGTAAGACCGTCAGACCGACACAAAGATGGATAGAATATGATAGAATCTACACCAGAGCGTAACATGCACTTCTTCAACCCATTTCGGGGTTCTTCAAAGTTCCAAGTTCCAAGCATCCCTCGCAACCTCAACTCGGAACCCATGAATTTGGGATCTCCACACATTAACTGAGAGATTTCATGTGTACACCCTCCCTGCAACAAGTTGGCCAATGATTTTTCAAACCTAAACAAACATCCACAACGCAACTTCTCACCATTCACCAGTTCCACATGTCTTGAGGCTTGGCTTCCAATCCAGGCCAATGTGGGCCAACTGGACAAGCCCAAAAGCCACGGAACCTGGGCTCCACTTCCAAATCATCGAATTGCCCCTTAAAAAATCAACAAACACATCATCCCTGGCCTGATCGGCACAGATTCCAGTTCGCATGGGGCACTTTTTACTAAGTGTGACGCTGGGCCTGAAACCATAGGACCTTGGCACACTGAGTCAGCTCCCCTCGAGCTTTCACCTCTCCAGCTCCTCAGTGAGCTTCTGAAGCTCGGAATGACTCACCAGTGACACCTGCGAGACTTGGTGAAGCCGGCGCGGGACAAGAGGTGCGGCGGTTTTTTCGAACAGAAAGCGGTTTTCAGGCACAAAACCCGTCTATACCTGGAGGACCTGGAGGCTATCACTCTTAGGTTGGAGGCCATCGCTAGTAGGTTGAAACCCAATCAGACCCAGACCTTCGGACTGGCATGCTTACCGATCAGCCAGGGCCATGAGGGGTCAATGGGGTGGTAAAGACACCCTGTTTGGTCTTCGAACAATGATCTTTTCAGGGCCTATGCCACCTGGAAACCCAGCCAGAAACACTTGGATGCTTCCCCAGTCCCACTTCCTATGTAAAGGATCTCGCCAGCGCTAAAGCTGGAGAACTTGGAACGAACTGGTTCGGGATTGGGGACTGGGTTTCCAGGTGTTTCCGATTCTTTGAAGAAATTGAATGTCTCTGAAAGTGGGTGGTGACGAAACCTCCCCTGGACACCTTCGCCAGTGTCACCAGCACCCAGGTCACCTGCCAGGTCACCACCTGCCCACTTTGAAGTCTCCATGTCAATAATTTCATTTCTGGTACAGGTGCAGTCTGACCTCTTTGCCTGGAGTTGGCATCTAGCGCGACGTGTGTTTTTCAACGCCATGGCCTGCTAAGGCAGTGCAATGGAGTTGTTGATATATAGTTATATAAAGACATTACTCTTACCGAGGTTTCTGGGACCAGGTTTGAAAGTAGCCCCAGGTTCTCCCAAACCTTTGGGTGTGCAAAAATCTTTGTGCGGGAATAAGGATCAAGGTTTCCATCTATTTGGTGAACTTGTGTTGGGAAAAATACATACAAAAATACCATACAGTTCAAACATGTACTCTCCATGGAAGCAACATGGAAGTCGAGTTCACCACCTGTTTGGTATTCAGAACATGGTCTTCCAAGAGGGCATGCCATGCACTTCGATGTTAGTTCCAGGGAGTATCTATAGACTCCCCCCAAAATAGGATAGAAAAGTAGATCCCCATGATATCATGTGAGAAATGCGAGTAGAAAAAAAGGGTTCTACCTCTTTGGGGACACCCCACCACAATATGAGTTTTCGACGTTTTCGCTCCGATCCCCGCTGATCCCCGCCGCTTCACCAAGCACTTCTCCCAACGCTTCGGGTCGAAAGATCACATGAAGATCACATACCAGAAAAGCAAACGTTCCCATCTGTCACACTCCCAACTACAATGGTTGTATACTATTCTCCTTACTTTTAGGGTCTGGCCACTGCAAAGCCGCCTGGCCGTCAAGAACGTCTGACCCGTGTGCTTTTGGGCTCGCCCGCCTTACTTCATTGACCTTAAAGCTCCGCAAAAGCCACCCCTGCGCAGTCAACAACGCCCACACCCGCCCTATGCCCTCACCCCCGCCGTGCCTGTGCCACGGCGTCAACGTCGGCCACAGCGCTGGCCAGCACGGCCAGCGGCTGCACGTCGCCGCGAGAGCCCAAGGCCACAAAGACGACGTGTGCCATGGGGCGAGACCACCGCGCATTCCCGCCGCGACCGGTCTGGGAATCATGAGCGATTTGGAACCCACGACTGTGGGCACAGAATAAGATCACCCACAAAGAGGAGATCCCAACATGGGAAGAGTTGGTGTAACACAGCACCCTGTTTCAGGTGGTTTACGAATAGGTACATGTTTCATCCCCAAAAAACACTTGGGTGGTGCTGGGGATGAGCATTTGTTTTGAGAGTTCTCATTGATTCTCATTGGAAACAACGCTTCTTGAGACACTCGTAGTGAGCCGACCGGCTTGGCCAAAGCGAAGAGGCAAAACCTGTGGATGCTGCAACTGTTGGAATCTAAGCTGATCAACTGGTGATGCCGTTTTTGAGCAGACTCCAAGCGTCACCCTCGGTTTGGGGGATGTTCCCTGCTTCCGCATTCGAGGATGAGACGGGCCTATTGATATCTACAGCAGGCTACTCTTTGCTGCCTGCAGGCGTCATTCTCATTGATCTTTCTGGAATGACAAGCCCGATGCAGTCGGCATGGTTTGGCCATGTTCTCGTTGTGTCTGCCTCTTTGATGGACCACAAACCCTCGACCCGCTTGGGCGAACTGCAGCGAACTCCACCTTGTTGGCATCAAGGAGGCCTAAATGGCTTCGGAAAGGAGGCGTGCTCCATCGCCACACGCATCCACGGAAGTCTGAGGGCACGGTGCATGATTCTTCTTGTAGCGAAACAACACCAAGTCTATCCAATTCTTATTCTTGGCGGTGGATCTTCATCTTCAGGTGAAGCCGCAGTTCTATGAAACTAGCAGGTCGCCTGTGGCAAAGCCAAGAGAGCCCTGACCCCCATCCCCAAAAGCGGCCAAAAAACAGAGTACCAAAATTGGTGTCCAAAAAAACCACCTTGTGTCAAGCAAAAACTGAAGAATTGTGTTTTCTGACAGATGACATGCTCCACCAAAGAGCCTTACTATAGTACATGGATAAGATGCAAAGAGCCTGTGGGTTCCTGTCCCTAGGTCCTATCTCTTGAGCCACAGCCATGTGGCCCCCCGATCACACCCACGTCTCGGTTGTCAAGCTTTCATAGTAGAAGCCTCAAGGCTTCACAAAAAAAGGGAAGGATGAACACATATGAATACCATGTTTTGAGTATATCCAATTCCCTGTAACATTCGATGATGCTTCACTTGCAGGCCTTCCTCTAAAATAAGTGTTCGTGCTTATGGACTGGATTGGTATGTTCGGAGCCCCCCAAACCATGTGAAACACATCTTGGGGTCCACATGCCTTGGGGTTCACACGTGGGGACGGAACAACCGTTGACACACCAAACGACAAAGGTGCCATAGCTGGTCGGCCGTGCAACTCGCAGATCAACGGGTGGACAAATCCCAACGTTGGTTGATTGACCCCCTCAAATTCCGTTGAACATACTGGTTACTTTGTTCCACTTGTTCGTATTTAGCGGTTTGTAGTGAGTAAACCACTCCAGAAAAAAGAACTAACGGTTATCCGCTGGCTAGCTAGGTTGATTCACATCGACCACAAAAGGGTTGCCCACACAGTACTTTCTGCTACACGAAGACTTGAGTTTCTGTGATTCACTTGCAGCCCCCCAAAAAACATGGTCTTTCCCGGAGAATACTTCTTCTCACTAGGACCAACGGTTTGGAGTCTGGAGCAGATCAAGTGTTTGGTCCTTGGAGATTCTCATACATCTTCTATTACACTTGTTTTCAGAGTAGATCGCACAAAAAAACACGTTGGGGATTGTGCCATCTACTCTGAAACCACTGTAGCTGATCTGCCCAGAACACGGAAGACAACAGTAAGCGACATCAGCCCAGCCACTGCATCTCCAGCACATGAACAACCCCCCTGCAGTGGCACCATGATTCTGCTGCTTTGCACCTTTTGCAACATCTATCAACTTTTCTTGACCGTACTTACTTGTATGGAGTAGACGAAATTTGAAGTGAAAACCCTGCAAAGACGGGCGTCGTGTCAAACAAAAGAACAAAACAAAAACAACAATTATATATACTATACTAGGAAATTCCACTTGCACAGCAGTGCCACCAAATCAACATAAATGTCACAAGACCACACACCTTGGATGAAAACAGGCTTTTCAGAGCCTGCAGATTGATGAACCACCCAAGAACCAACCCTATCACAAACTAGCATAACACCGGGTACCTGTTACCTATAGCCTATACCTGGTAAAACGGCCAAAAAAATTAGCTTCCATGTGCCCTTTTCATGGGAAACAGCTTGGGAAGGGTGCATTGAAACTACCTTGGACCGGCTTGGTCTCTTCAGTGCCCAGCTGTTCACCCCGTGATAGCGCGCAGGCGCGCGCACGCCTTGTGATCGCCGCTGTAGGGCGGATTCGTCAACAAGACCTCCGCACACGCCCGGCACTTGCGTGTGTGTGGATAAGGGGGGACGAGACTCATTTCTTTGGGACCAAGGTTTTTCCGCCACTTGAGGTGGAAGATACGCGAACACGAAACCTTTCGACTGACACCCATCTAATTAGAAGGAATGATGGTTAGTCTCTCTGAGGCAGGCATACACCGTGGCTGTTTCATTCTGTTTCATGAGCCGCCTAGAATTCTCGCTCTATGGCACTCCCATCTTTGGATTAATGGTAGCTACGGTAACAATCTGCGGCAATGGCCGCCAATGGCCGTCGACCTCGTGTCGCTCCATGCGGCGAGTGCCGCATCCTTCAAGAAGACAGCTGATGCTGCCACTGCTCGTCAAGGACAACTGCAATTCGTACAAAACGATGGTACGGGGTGGCACTCATCAATCCAAGTGCCACATGGTTTCTTCACGAGACCATGGCAAAACACATCAAGATACTGGCTTTTCAAAAACAAACATCCAACAAAACGCAATACAAAGTAGAACTTTTGAATCTCCCCGAATCTCGCTACACCCCTATTTCTGACCCCTGAGGAGCGATTGGTGCAATGCCCTTGCCTTCATACAGAGGGGGTCGGTGGTACCGCGCCATCCCATGGCAACGCCCGCTGCAGCAGTGGCATCATAGTGAAAGACCACATGCGGTGGAGAGGACCACTGAGGACCCCTTGTGCGGAGAACATCATGGAGCCACTTGGTCGCCATGATGTGAGCCATTGTCTCAGCATAGAAAGAGCCACGCAAGGTCTCCACTCGATGTTGCAAGGCCCCTGCCCAAAACCATATATGCCCGCCTATACCCAAATAGCAGCAGCAGCTCCAACACGCCCATCATGCTCAGACCCATCCAAAAACAGGTGAATCTGCTGCGGAGGTTCCATCCACTGAAAAACCCAACTCCTCGGCCTCTTCCTCTTCGTGCTCGCGACTCTCGCTGTCCTGGGTGGTCCCTCCTTGGTACGCACGTGGAAGCTGACCTTCGAAAATGCAGGAAAACACGAGAAACCTCTCTCTTCCCGGCTTTTTCATGAGTTCCCTCAGCCCTGCGGCCTCGGGACACATCATTTGCTTGCTGCTACCTCGTGGTAGCCGGGAATCGGGCGAATTGCGTCTACAGCGGCAAGCTCGCAGTGGTTCATCGATACTGTTTGCGGTGCCTCTTCACCTTGACGGTGAAGTAGTAACCCAGACTGCCCTCTCGACACAACCGTTCCTGCTTTTGCTCCATGTCCTGCACACTGAGTTTGCAACATAGCAGGAATGTTCCCAGCCTTCCACGGGCGCAAGCTGCGTAGCTGCAAGTAGCAACGCTGGCGAGCCTGGAGCATGTAAAAACGGCGCCGTGTGGTCTCAGTGTATGTTCCCAAAATGGACGCGCGCAGCAGTTCCTTTTTGCAAGCGCTCGACGCCTGAACAACGTAACGATGTAACACAAACACATTCCCTCATGCACACAAGCAAAGATGTTTTTCCCCACTTGTCAGGTGAGGGTTGATTGATTTTTTAAAGACAGTCTTTTCCTTCCTTCCTTCGTTCCTTCCGTCCTTCCGATCGCCGGACCTGAACAGCAAGCGCCAGATCGCAGTGGGCAGTGCCGGACCTCAACCGCAAGTGCCAGATCGCAGTAAACACTCAACAGCAAGCGCCAGATCCCAGTGGGCAGTATACATGCAGAATGATTTCTAATTGGCAGCATCTTGCTGGGTCTCTGGTTGTGCTGGTGTGGCTGCATCCTTCCTGCATTTATTCGCCTCAGCTTTTGGGCAGGGCCCACTGCATCATTGTTTGTATGGTTTTCGCGGGATTCCTTGTTGAAGTCGATTCAACAAATCCCGAATAATCATCTTTTTCTTGGTGAGTTGGTGCAAGAAGGCCCAACTCTACCAATTTCTGCAGTTCTTCAACAAACTGGCCACCTTTGCTGGCTGCAGGTCTGCGCGCAGGATGTGGAGTTTTGTGACAAGTTTTGTGACATATCCTCCAACCCATGAACAGGCCTGGTGCCATGTTGGGCTCTAGAGTCCTTTTACCAACTTTCCTGATCGGTAATAAACAAGTTGTCCTACCACTCTTCCGCCCATGTCGTCTCCTCCAACACCGATGCAACAATGGCTCGTGTCATGGCCCGGCACACCTCACGGATGGCTCACACCAAACGAAAATGACGCCGACTACAACCAATTTGGAAACCCACCTGCATGCGGAGCCTTGCGTAATGCATGTATTATGTAATGTTTGGGTAGGCTTGGAGATGACTGCGGCCGCAGAATGCAGTACTGCAACTAAGCTAAAGCTGCAAGCGCCAGATCGCAGCGGGCAGTCTCGGGCCTGAACCAACAACATACAACCACAAACACAATCACAAAGACACAGCCGCAAACACACAGCCAGAAACACACAACAATAAACACACAACCACAAACACAAGCAGAAACACAATCACAACTACACAACAGCAAAAACACACGAACTCCTTAACATTGAAATAACAATCCCAAACCCGAGGACCCACAAGCAAAATCGAAAACCACCAAACACCACGACCATGGCAAACATGCCCCTGACCGCATGAAAACAAATGATTGACATGTCATGGTAGGGATTCTCGAAGTAAAGTAATTAATTTAATGGTGGATTTCCCCCATCAGCTCGCAAGAACT